TCCGGTCGGCGACCATGCCTGGGGTGCGTTTCCCCGTTCCCCTCGATGGTCCGGCTAGGGCCTGGGCCGCCTGCTCTCACCACCCCTCGATGGATGTCATCATCATGTTGGGCCTGACGCTAGTTGTTGATGACGCTGCGAGTGTCTCGGTTCGGCCCGAGGCGTTCGCGCATAGGTGGTCGGTGTGGAGCGGGCGCTGGGTCAGTCCATGGTGCAGCTGTGGCCTCCTGTTCTACGCCCGACGACTATAGTGTTGAGCGGATGGAGCGGTTTGACTGGTGCACCCCCATGCCTCCATTGGGGAGAGAGGCTGCAAGTCGGTGTTGTGATGCGAAGCTCTTCGCCTATTGAACGGCGGCAGTTTCCACCAGCGCCCGGAGGTTCTGGTGAACCGCCTACTCTTGGGGGTCGACAGGCTCCAGAAGGCCGCGTAGGAGCATCGCCGCAGCGGCGATGTTCTAGCCAGCCTAAGCAAACTGTGGGGGATCGTTCCCCCCATCCATGATGTTGCGCTGGACCTAGCGGGCGTGACCCCAGGCGCCGCTCACTGGGTTACACGCGCGGGGCATAGCGTGCTACGCCGAGCGTGCCGGCGCAGGTGGCGGCTAGTTCTACCACCTTTGTCGTAGCTCCTCGCCGTGCTCCTATGCACACGCGAGGGCCTCCGCATGAGGGTCTAGAGGGGTGTGGGTCTGTAGAGACTCCGCTACCACCAGTGGCTGTCCCAGAGCGTCTACCATAGCACACTCCTAGGACAGAGGGTGGCTAGGTGCCACGACGTCGCCGATGCTGGAGCCGTCGCTCTCAACATCGTCATCCATGAGGTCGTGGAAAGAGGCGGGAGCGTAGCCCACTATCCCCACGAATTCGGATATGAGAGGGGGCGGCGTCAGCATCTTTCGGAGCCCCTGTGTGTAAGCGTCAGTGGGGGACGCGAGGTTGTAGGGGAACCGGTTGCATGGTGGTCGCGGTGGGGATGACGGGGTCCCTCCGGAGAGCCGGTGAAAGATAGTAAATAGCGAGTAAATAACAGTATGTATGTTACTCACAGTGGGGTTTGAGCCCAGCGTAGGCTTAGAGCGAAGCGCAGGCGCCTCATCGTTGAGGTTGCCAAGTGCCCGAAGCCAATGGAGGGCACTCCTCCTCCGATGGGTGCTGGGACAACTGCCTCCTCACCAAGGCGAAGCACGCCGAGCCGGTCGGCGACGAAGTCTAGGCTTCCGAAGAGGAAGGTCTGGGATGGCTCGAAGACGGGAGGAACCCACATCCCAACATGTGAGAGCACGGGAAACTCTAGCGAGCCGAAGCGAGTCGTATCGCTTGAGCCTGCCATGCCGAGGATGGCAGAAAGGTGGGCCATCCGATGACCAAAACCATGAACGTACGGCGTCTTCCCCATGGATGGCGCTAACTGTCGGTGCGAAAAGTGACCAACTAGTAAATATTTGTCATTTTGCCGTACGTTGTGATCGGATGTGGCCTAGCACTCAATGACACAGGGTTTATACTGGTTTAGGCAACGTGCCCTACGTCCAGTTTGAGTCGGTCGGTGACTTTATTCCTGAGCCCAGGTGGTCGAAGTTTGCTGTGGGGTTACAAATGAGTGGGAGTAAGATGGGGGTGTAAGAGGTCCGGTCGGACTTTGGACTGAAGGGCCGAGAGTGACGGGAGCTCCTACGTGCGCTAGGTATTCGAACGTGCGCTCTATGTAGCTTTAGAAAGTCTAAAGCTAGCAGAGAGTGAGTCGGAATGATCTATCTATTGTTCATTTCTTCATCGTCTGAATTGATTGGTTTTTAGGAGAGAGCGCATCCTCTTTCATAGATGAAGGGGACGGCCATACAAGTGAGAGAGAGGGAGTGTGTGCTACCTAGTCTTGTTGCCCACATTGTCAGGTACGAGACGGTTTGTCGGTGCCTACAATATTGTTGATGCCCTGATGCATGTGGCTAGTTCTATCGTGCTCTTCTGGTATGGCAAATGTCGGCGCCTACCATACTGTAGGACAAAATGCTGACGCCCACAATACTGTTCGTGTCCTGACATGTCTGGAAGGTTGCAAAGTACCCTTCTGACATGGCCTGATAGTACTATCCTGCAGGTGTGCAGGGTACGGTCCTCGGTATTGCGGTTGACTTGTGCGCCTTACCTTATCTGCTCCACCTGATTTCTTAGGTCCTCACCGAGCGAGCGTCCCCGTTCGGTCGTTCCCAGTCAGCTCCGACCACGCCGGTCGAAGAAGAGCCACAGGTAGAGGTTTGGTGTGTTCCTGGTCGGAGACATGAGTCGGAGTCGAAAGCGAGCGTCGCTCCTCCTTGGCCAGGCCTTCCGGTCGAAGAGGCGGGTCGTAGTCGAAAGCGAGCGTCGTCCCCTTCTTGGCTAGGCCTTCCATTCGGAGAGGCGGTCAGAGTCGGAAGCGAGCGTCGCCCCTCCTTGGCTAGGCCTTCCGGTCGGAGAGGCGGATCGGAGTCAGAAGTGAGCGTCGTCTCCTCCTTGGCCCTCGCTCTTTGGCCTATCGTTTAGGTATCTGGGCCGGCCTAAGAGTTGCGTGTTGTTTCGCAACGTCGTCTACTGGGCTAAGCTTTTGCTGGGAAGCAGGCCCAGTAGGGACCCTGGGTTTATGAACCCGACAAATGGAATGGTCCATCGTCTTCATTCTCACCCTATAACTTTTTTTTTGTTTTCTGGAATAAAATTGGTTGATTCTTCACCACCAAATCCCTTGTAAGCTATCAACCTCCGAGGTTCCTTGAGGGCCAACAGCCTCTGAGGAAATATTCCTAACCATCGAGGAAATTAGGTTCCTTGAGGGCCAGCAACCACCAAGGAAATATAGAGGAAGAGAAAAAAAATCAATGAAAGCCCTTTTTCATGCCCTCCCGAGAATCAAACTTGGGACTTGAGCCCAACGACCGACAATAGGTGGTAGAAAAACCAACGTGCTCTCCTCAGATGTCGGAGTAGGATCGCACAGCCAGCAGCGGAGGCGCCCAGCTTCGTAGGTTGTAGTATTGCTCTTAGCTTGGTTGTAGACCTTTTGTGTAATATCGAAGCAAAATTATTTCCTAGAACGGTCCAGTCTACAGCTGTAAGACCTCCAAGGGCGCTCGTCAGAAGCGTGTCGTTTGTATGGTTAAACTCGTCTTCTTAATTACAATGATGCGCAAATCTTTTGCGTATTCAAGAAAAAAAACTTCATTGTGTTAGCTTCGACTTTAACGTTTGAGAGCCTGATAACGCTTCAAACCAAATCAGAGCTAGAAAGGGACACAATAATCTTCAAAACACTTCAAACCAAAGCAAAAACATGCATGCAAAGTTTACAGATTGTTATTATACTTCCATTTACAGGTAGGTGAAATCCAGATTCCTCCTTACAAAAGCTATAGACTAATTTTTCAGCACGATGGAAGGGTAAGTGGGAGGTTGAGGGAGACCTAGTAATTCCACATCAAGTTTTGGAGTGGGTGCCCACCAACACATGACTAGATGAGTGTGTTTAGTTTGAATAATGGAATGGTCCATCGTCTTCATTCTCACCCTATAACTTTTTTTTTGTTTTCTGGAATAAAATTGGTTGATTCTTCACCACCAGATCCCTCGTAAGCTATCAACCTCCGAGGTTCCTTGAGGGCCAACAACCTCTGAGGAAATATTCCTAACCATCAAGGAAATTAGGTTCCTTGAGGGCCAGCAACCACTGAGGAAATATAGAGGAAGAGAGAAAAAAATCAATGAAAGCCCTTTTTCATGCCCTCCTGAGAATCAAACTTGGGACTTGAGGCTCCATTCTAAGCACACTTACTACTAGACCTACAAGCAACTCGTGACTAAGTGAAATATTCTTTTCTTTTGTATTCACTTTATTGAATCTTGTAATGAATATTTGAGATCCTAAACGATTTTAAAAGTAAAATGTTTGAACTAAAAAAATTAGATCTCGTCGAATACTGTAACTTTGGTTTAGCTTGTATCTCAAGCCAAGGTCGTTTGAAAAATTCAAAAAATCTAAATTTCAAAGCTATGAGAACTTCCTTGGTGGTTTCCAATTACACACAAGAAAATATGAATTACCTTGACGGTTTCGAATAACACTCAAGAAAATATGAATTACCTTGGCGGTTTCGAATAGCACCCAAAAAAAATGGGGAATTACCTTGGTAGTTTGTAACAACAATCAAGGAAACATGGAATTCACTTGGCGCTTTGGACTAGCACTCAAGGAAATAAGCTATTACCTTGGTGGTTTGATTTAGCACTCAAGAATATGTATTTCCTTGGAGGCCTACATCCCCAGTCAAGTAAACTACACTTTTCTTGGTGCTTTTATTTTGTCACTCGAAAAAATTCTTGGCCCTTAACGTAAGTTAGGATTCTCATTGTGAGTTTTTTTTTGGATGGGAAGAGGATCTAATTAACAACAAACTTGTAGGATGCAGTTGGTGCAAGTCCAAAGTGAACAAAACAAATACAGAACTTGCACCAACGTTGCACAGACATCTATACATATCCAAATAGATCTCGCGTGATTCTTGCTTTATGTAGTTTATTCAGCCACCATTCATATTTTTAACTCTTCAAATTGGAGCGCGTTGCCGATCAATGGGGCTGGACACGTTAGTAAAAAAAAAAAAAAAAAAAATTGACCGTCTGATTTCCATCTGCCGGCTCCGGTTACCCCACCAACGAGTTACTGTTTACCGTCCACGCGTCGTCGTGCCTGAGGCTGCCGCCCAAAATATCTCGGCTTCGTCTCTCCGCCTCCCTGCCTCACTCCAAGTAAAAAAAAAAAACGACCTCTACTCTTCCCATCGCTTCTCGTCCCCTCCACCGCCTCCCCTCCCCGTCCGACCTCCACGCGCCGCGGCCAACGGGCGCGGCCGCCGCCGCCTCCCTGCTGTGCTGTGCTTTGCGCCGGCGGCGGCTCCGCTCTCCCGCGCGCCGCACACGTCTCCCTCTCCCCCTCTCCCGATGTGCCTCAGCGTGGATGGGTCCCGGCCATGGCGTGGCCGGCGCAGGGCATAGGCATGGCCTCGAAGTCGCTCGTCCTCATCTTCCCCCCTCTCTCTCCCACTGTGGCCACGAATGGTGGGCGCACCCGGTGCGGGTGGGCCTGGACGGTGCCGGGATTGGTAAAGATCAGTCGCAGGTGCTCCCGTTTCCTCTTATTTTGTGATTTTGCTTTTCTCTATCTGATTTCTCCGTACGTTGACTATGAATCCTGTTCTATTGTTTGGCCTATAATGCCTGCAGCTCCAATGTTTGCCTTCTCTGATGATCTCTGTGAGGACGGCACCAATTGTCAGTTGCCACCTCGCTATCGCTGTTACAAAGGTCCTGTAATCTCTCCGGTTAGCTCCGTAGGAGTGCGTGGGTCTCCCATTTTTTTTCCTTCTTGAGCCTGTGATGAAGATTCCATACCCATTGCTGAAGAATATGATCTGATGTTCATTAGCTCGTGAGGTACTAGGCATGACCTGCTACTTATATTATGCAATTTCTGAGAGTAACCCAGTTGGCAGCATGCCTTGAAGCTCCAATTTAATGAACAAATGATGATTGGTATGTTTCTGAGGCCTCTAACAAATTCTGTCTTCATTCTATACATCCATCTGTATGTGGCCCCAACCTGAGTTGTTGCAAATGATGGTATTCTCAGTGCATGTCATTGTGCCTAACTACAGGAGATCAAATGGTGCCATTTTTTTTTTTTTACATATATGAAGCTACTCTTATTTGCTATATTATTCCCCTTTTCTTATTGTAGTGAATTCTTATATAGTTTCGGAATATAGGATGGTGATCTTGAAAGGGAAATATTTAGTATTTACACATTTTTATGCTATTCTGAAGATGTGGCTGGTTGCAAAGAGTCAATAGTTTTGCAGCTTCCTAGACGAGGCCTCCCCTTTCTTCCCTGCCATTTCTTTCTTTTACTTTTTTCTTGAAGAACAACAGGAGGACAATGCATCAAAAAAGGTAGAACGACCACTCTTGATAAGGAAAAACTCCTGCAGTGTAAATGTTTTTTTTTAATATCTCTAAGTTCTACTGTGTACTCTGATTGACACATTCTATTTCTACAATTATTCAATAATATCTGTTTACAAGATCCATTTGTCCTTTTCAATACAGAGTGGTTGTTTAAGATACTAAAAAGGGCATCGTACCTCATTGACTTATCCGAAAACCATTGTTGCCATCTTTGCCAAATTAATTGTTCTTTTTCGAGTGATATGACAGAAATAGTATGCTAAATGCTTCCACCAGTTCTTTTCGTTTCTTTCCGCTTCATTATTGTGCTTCCTCCTATGATTGTGCGTGCCGGATGCCTGTTATTTGAGATCCTAATTACTTGATTGCTCCAGTGATCTGCTTCTCGGATTTTTGGACTCTTATTATCTTTTTAGTTTTTCGCTTATTCATATAGTGTAGGATTAAATTCATCTGACAAATGGGGAAACAAGCGACAAGCTATAACCCTATATCACACAACAGCTCTTCATATATGATAAAATGGATTATGATTTGTGAATGTTGTTAACTTCTCTTAGATATCACCCCTTTTCATTCACATGCCTATTGGCCATATAGTTTTTTTACACCCATCATTACTCCTTTGCATTCACATACCTGTTAGCCATATAGTTTTTTTCGAACCCATCATTGAATTGAATTAATCTTTCTTGTTTTCGATGGTCTGGAGGTTCACGATGAACCTGGTGAGTGTTGATTTATTAAGTCGACGCTCATAACCTGATGGCTTTTGATTTGTTAGGTTTATGTTCATGTCATATTCCTGAATGATAAAACGGTACCAAATCTGTGATCCTGCAAATGAAACTTTGTACCCTTCTGATGATAATAAAGAGGTCAGAAATGTTGATTCTGCTACTCTAATATCCAGATTTGTATCTTAGAATACAAAATAATTCCTGCTCGCTTTAGAAAGTAGTAAATAATAATTCAGTAGCGCCTTTTGATCTGCAAGTGTTTTTTGTTCTCCTCAGCTGCTAGATAAATTGTTAGCCACTATTCAGATAATCAGTGCTGCGATATATTGAACCGTCAGAAATTGAGTCCACAATTCGAAGTGAAGACACAAAGTGTTCTCGAACCTGGCCACGTATCAGTATCTAGCATTCTGACTAACTTCATTTGTTTGTATTTGTATGACATCAGAGGAGAATAGCAAGTCCTTTGTCATTTACAATTTGGCTAATCAGCTTGTCGACCTGCAGAGGCGCTTCAATAATCTGGAGATGAACAGATCTGGTCAAACAGCAAGGGTGGCTTCTAATCCAAGAGCTATTTATTCTAATAAGAAAAGGTCCAGGTATTTAACTGTTATACCATCTAGCTACAGATTTGCGTATACATTTAGTGATTATCGTCAATTGGATGACAAACAGCTGAACAAGTGGCGTCTGTACATTGCGTGGTTAGAATCGTTCATATCGATTAAATGTAATACCTATATAGTGTGCTTTGGTATTTTTTGGATGCTCCTTCTGGATAATAGCTAGGTTTGTTGTGTACGTGGTTTTATTTGTCAATACAATTCTCTGTATTCCGGTAGTATGTGGGGTCTGTTCCACCTTTTCTTTTGTCGATTTTGTCATGAGTGCAATAATTTTTAAACTATTTCTCACTTTTACCTTTTCATTCTGACACAATTATCCAATGTACATAATACACTACACTGAACCTGCAGTTTGCATGGAATTGGATTCTTCTTTTGGACGGCCTAAACAATTCAAATCAAAAGAAGTTCTCTTTGAAGTGTGATACTATTACTCTCTTATGTGAACCTGTGGCCTGCAGCGTTGTGATAAAGGCGTATCCCTTATTGGTAAATAAAGGCCTATCCCTTCTTGGTAATTGTTTTTTTTTCCTGTGCATTGCAGGTTTCTTCCATACCATGGGCAGACCACCAAAATCTTGGCCTCCTTCAAGGTCACAGGGTAGAGAGTTCATTTATCTTTGAATGCAGATTGAGATATGAAACAATTACTTTTCTATTTCTTTCATTTGTTTGGTGAGTTGGGTCTCTGCTCTCATGAAGTATACAAGTGAAGCCGGACAAAAGAAATATTATGCTTAGCCATTTGTGGATCTTTATGGTATACATGTCAAGCGCACTACTTTGTGCTTCTGTTTCTTAGGCTCTGTACTTCTGTTTTGTATATATCATCACTGTCCATGATCAATGGTATTTTCTCCAGGAGAAATATTTGTGGTGCCAGCCCACGCCCAAGGATATGGACTATCTGTTTTCAGTTTTGGTTGTCAGTGATGGAGATACAAGTCGCTTTTTATTTTTCCCTTAGTTCACTCATGGTCTTCCTACTGCCTTGGCTGTTTTTTTCCCCATAATTCCTAAAAAGTGTGTTGTATTCACCCTATTTGTCATAATTATGAATTATGGATCACTACATGTAAGTTCTGTTACCGAGATTTAGACATAAATCACGTTAAATGCATGCCATTTTGCTGCTTATGTCACCTAAGGAATATATACAAGACATCAGATCTATCTGGCAGCCAATGCCTCTACGTGTCCATCTCTTCAAAGCAATGGCTTGGTCACGCAGGGCCTTGATATACATGTTGTGAGGTTCTCTTTGTACCTAAAGAATATATCCGTTGCTTCATAGTCTTATTGTCCACAACCTGCATGTAAACCTATGTCTGCTTATTCACCCGCGCACACTAGTACAGAAACAAGCTGTACTCCCGATTGGAAAACACCTTCAGTCCTGGTTTTCCAACCGGAAGCATGAATTCGGGATTAAAGGGCCTCTCCTTTAGTCTCGGTTTCTCGCCCGGGACTAAAGGAGGTGGTCCACCTTTAGTCCCGGTTGGTAATATCAACCGGAGTTAAAGAGGCCTCTTGGCCTGACCACGTGGGTCGGCCCTTTAGTCCTGGTTGGTATTACCAACCGGGGCTAAAGTTTTTTTTTCTTTTTCTTTTTTTGTTTCTATTTTCAATTGATGATTCGTTTTGGTTTTCGAATAGGTTTTTAAATACGTATTCTACGCTGCTAATAATATATGTATTCTACACGCTTATAATGTTTGAACATTTTGTACAAACTAAAGTAGTATATTCTATCATATTCTTGGGATAACAAATTCACTCCATCTGGTTTAGGTTTCATGTTTCGTTCATGTCATTGTAGAACTCGCCGGCGGGGTTTAAGACCTAGTCATTAAGAAATCCTGCTATGGTCTCTTGAATTGCTTTCAGTTGGTCACGTCGTATGACTTTTTTCTTCAACCATAGAGTCTTCAATAAAAGTTAAAGAAAAATTATTAATATATATATATATATGTGTGTGTTGGTCACGTGATTACTTATATATATGAGCAATAAAAGAAATTGCATTAGTAGAGAACAAACCTTTGATCCTCGGCCAAAATGGGCTCTAGTCCCAGAATTTTTTGCTCCCGGGACTAAAAATACCTTTAGTCCCGGTTGGTGGCTCAACCGGGACTAAAGGTCCCGCCCACCTGACTCTGCGCCCAGATGCAGGTGGCGGGGGACCTTTAGTCCCAGTTGGAGCCACCAACCGGGACTAAAGGTATACTTTTACTCCCGGTTGGTGGCTCCAACCAGGAGTAAAGGTCTACTCCCGGGCCGTGGCTGCGCCCGGGGTTGGAAAGTTACCTTTAGTCCCGGTTGGAGCCACCAACCGGGACTAAATGTTCTCCCTTTATATATCGGCCGTCTCCTTCTTCCTCCTCGAGCCCGAGCTCAGCACATTTTGAAGCTCACTGCACTAGTGTTCTTCCTCCCTCCCTCCATTGTTCCTCCATCCATTCTTCGATTCCTCCTTCAATTTCTTCGATTCCTCCGTCGATTCTTCAGTTGTAAAGGTTACCAATCTCATACTCTCATTTTTCACCATTGTCTTATGCCATTTTGTTCACTATATATATTTATGGTTCTTTATTGTGGTTTTTTCATTTGTAAGCAATTTGAGCTCAAAATCACTTCAAGCTTGCATATTTACATGAAAGAAGGTTAAAGTATATATAAATATAAACTTAGAAAATAGTTAGAAAATTATAGCAAATCCGTACTAGTTGAACTTGCGGACCGTGTTATTTCGGCGAGCATGTTCTCTCGCCGGTGTAACGGACGTCAAGGAGGAGCTTTGATTCTACGAGGAGAGCGACAACGGTCGTGGAAGACCGTGTTCCTTCCTCGTAGAATCGGAGCTCTTCCGTGGCCAAGTACGGTGCCGTCCGGTGGAGAAATGCTCGCCGAGATGATCACGTAAGCAAGTTCAACCAGTATGGATGATTATTTATTCACATGTCCCGATATCATCGCAGTAGTCTGTCAATCACCGTACCCAAACGTAGAATATATATAAATATAAACTTAGAAAATAGTTAGAAAATTATAGAAAATCCGTACTAGTTGAACTTGCGGACCGTGTTCATCTCGGCGAGCATGTTATCTGCCGAGCGGTAACGGACGTTAAGGAGGAGCTTTGATTCTACGAGGGAGAGCGACAACGGTCGTGGAAGACCGTGTTCCCTTCCTCGTAGAATCGGAGCTCTTCCTTGACCAAGTACGGTGCCGTCCGGTGGAGAAATGCTCGCCGAGATGATCACATAAGCAAGGTCAACTAGTACGGATGGTTATTTATTCACATGTCCCGATATCATCGTAGTAGTCTGTCAATCACCGTACCCAAACGTAGTATATATATAAATATAAACTTAGAAAATAGTTAGAAAATTATAGAAAATCCGTACTAGTTGAACTTGCGGACCATGTTCATCTCGGCGAGCATGTTATCTGCCGAGCGGTAACGGACGTCAAGGAGGAGTTTTGATTCTACGAGGGAGAGCGACAACGGTCGTGGAAGACCGTGTTCCCTTCCTCGTAGAATCGGAGCTCTTCCTTGACCAAGTACGGTGCCGTCCGGTGGAGAAATGCTCGCCGAGATGATCACGTAAGCAAGATCAACTAGTACGGATGGTTATTTATTCACATGTCCCGATATAAATCGCAGATGATACATCAATCACCGTACCTAAACGTAGTATATATAAATATAAACTTAGAAAATAGTTAGAAAATTATAGAAAATCCGTACTAGTTGAACTTGCGGACCGTGTTCATCTCGGCGAGCATGTTCTCTGCCGAGCGGTAACGGATATCAAGGAGGAGCTTTGATTCTACGAGGGAGAGCGACAACGGTCGTGGAAGACCATGTTCCCTTCCTCGTAGAATCAGAGCTCTTCCTTGACCAAGTACGGTGCCGTCCGGTGGAGAAATGCTCGCCGAGATGATCACGTAAGCAAGGTCAAATAGTACGGATGGTTATTTATTAAAACATGTTTTTGAGCTATAATGTATTAAAAATGAGTATAGAGATCTAGATAATTTTATAGTTTCTTAATTTTATTTGTTTATAAAAGGAGAAATTTATAGTGTATTAAAAAATGAGTATAGAGAGTAGATGGCAACTGCTTCCGGGTCCTCGGCCTCTCATGGGTTTCCAAAGCGATTTAGGCCGAGCCTCCCTCTCATTCCATGCGGCAAGTGTCGTGATGAGATGAAGATTGTGATGGAGTACCGAGTGAAGAAGGAGGGTCGCAACAAGGATCGTATCTTCTACAAGTGTCCGGATCGCAATGTGAGTTATTTTATCGTATTTAATGATTATGGTTAGTTTATACCTATTTTCATGATGGTTGTGATTAAAGTTCTAATTTTTTGTTTTAATTTCAGTGGGATGGCAGTGGACGATGTTCAGGCTTCTACTGGGAGGAAGAGTATGTTGAACTCGTGCAAAAATATCTTGCACAACAGGCAGATACGGCGGCTAATGAGGCAGTGATCCAGCCGAAGAAGCCCAAAGATGTTGCACAATCGGGGGATCACATCTTTTTTAGTTGAGATTGGTCCTTGAAATCCTTGTGCTCTGAAATGTATTTTAGCTTTAGTTCTTTTAGTGGTAGTTGGGATTGTCTACATTGTAGCGATGCTTTCATAAATTTGTATCTTTTGTGGTGGCACGCATGTTGTATAAATAATTAATTATGATCTAGGTTTTAATATGGTATTTATGTCATGTAATGCAGATGAGCCGTCATTGGATGTATAATGCTGATCGCCGCTCCCAAGAGTTCATTGATGGCGTGCATTCTTTGTTACATGCGGCTGAGGCAAACAAACGTGATGGTTTCATGTGCTGCCCATGTGCCATATGTAAGAATACGGTGGAATATCCTTGCTCAAGGACTCTTCATTCACACTTGTTCAAGTCAGGTTTCATGCCAAACTATATTTGTTGGACAAAGCACGGAGAAACCGGTGTTGTAATGGAAGAAGGTGAAGAAGAACAATGGGACGACAATGATATTATTCCCGATGGTGCGTGCTTCAATGATACTGCAATGGGAGAAGCTGAAGAAGAGGTAGCCGCAGAAGATGAGCCGGCTGATGATCTTTCTCAGGTCATTCGTGACACACAAAGAGAATGTGAAAGTGAAAAGGAGAAGATCAAGTTCGAGCGGATGCTAGAAGATCACAAGAAATTGTTGTACCCAACTTGTGATGCAGGGTAGAAAAAGTTGGGAACCACACTAGAATTGCTGCAATGGAAGGCAAAGAATGGTGTATCTGACAAGGGATTTGGAGAGTTACTAAAAATCCAAAAGAAGATGCTTCCGAAGTACAATGAATTGCCCGCCACAACCTACGAAGCAAAACAAGTTGTCTGTCCTATGGGGCTAGAAATAGAGAAGATACATGCATGTCCTAATGACTGCATCCTGTACAGTGGCAAAGAGTACGAGAAATTAGATGCATGCCCGGTATGCCATGTGTCGCGGTATAAGATCAGGCGAGATGACCCTGGTGATGTTGAGGGCGAACGTCCGCGGAAGAAAATCCCTGCCAAGGTTATGTGGTATGCTCCTATAATACCACGCTTGAAACGTCT